TTCGGCAGCTGCGTGCTTGCACACACCCTGGCTCTCCCAGTGTTGACTTGTTATAATCTGGCATCACGTGTCTCCTGGCGAAGGTGGTGGCTGCAGAACATTTCCTTTAACTAGAAAGGTTTTACAAGTGGATCTGTTGATCCTGAAGTCCAAACTGTTCAACTGAAGAAAAAACTTACTTGTTCTGAGTTCAGATTTTATGCTGACAGCATGTAAGTACCTTGCTTCAGGAAATGTTTGTCCTGAAGAAGCTATTACTATTTTACTGCCTGCCTGTGTAGCTAAAATCAAATGCATATAGCTTAATTTTTTAGTACACAGTGCTGCTTAAGAACACAATCTGTTTTTCCAGGATTAACATTGTACATAATTCTATAGAGGGAGTTTGAATCTCTAGTGCCGTTTACAAGTGGATTGAGATTCATGCCAGAATTCTGGACTTCTTTTTTTCCTTTCCTGAGCTCCCATGGGAACACTGTCTTATTCAGAAAATGTTTTGCATATTTCCCACCTTATAGTGCTAAATTCTTTATCTAATTCAAGTCCAGTAATTTTAAAGTATCTGTTCAATATTGTGTTTTTCCCATTTCTTAACATTTAGAATTCAAAATATATAGTTCTGGATTATAAACTTGTATTTCAGAGGTATGTTCTGAAGTTTTCTTTTTGTCATGGCTTAAAGCGTCTGTATCAGTCTTTTTATTACTATGAAAATGGTAATTGCTAGTAGAAATGCTTGTTTTAATTAGGGGAAAAAATAGTTACTGTGAACTATAGATTAAAAACATGAAAATTTTAAGTATAATGGATATTTGCTTCTGTTTATTTGCTTTGCCTAATCACAATTCTTTCAAATTTTATTTCAGTTAATATTAGTAAAGGTAAAACTTCACATAGCTTTTAGTTACAAAACATAGTGTTTAATAAAAATGTTGGGGTTTGAGAGGTTTTTTCCTTGTATTAAAAAAACTGTAACAAATTCTTGTTCTCAGAGATTTTCAGCATTTTTGTGAGTAATTTAATTACCAAAGTGCAGAGGAAATTAATTGCAGTCCCTCTCTTTCTTACAGAATACAGTCGTTTTGAAGCTAAAATACATGACTTACGGGAACAGATGATGAACAGTAGCATTAGTTCAGGATCGGGATCTTTGCGAACCAGCCAGAAGAGATCCCTATATGTCAGGTAATTATCTTTTTCACAGTATTGCTCATGGGTTTTTCTGCTTTTCTGTAGACTTACTCTTTCTGTATTTGCATTTTTATGCAATTATTTACTTACTATTGAACTTAACAAGTTGATATTTATATGCAAAATATATTAAAAATAAAGCTTAATTTAGATTGATTAATGGAATACAGTTGAAAAAGATGTGCTAGCCCTGAGAATCCTGTATGAAGTTTGAAGAGTGGTACTTTTACTTGCTTTTTGTCCTGCTTCTGAGAGATGATAATCCTTCAGCAGAAATGTGTATTTATGCAAGTCAGTGTATGTGAGGTCTTAACAACTTGCTTAATTCAATTTCTGGCTTCGGTGACAATTGTCTTCATATTCTCCCTTGTTCAGTTCTTGAGTTCAAATTTATAGTCTCTCTTTACTTAAGCTTTGACAGATTTCTATCTTATTTCCTTCAACTTACTTTAGTTGTATTCTCAGCTTGCATTAAAAAAAATGTTATTTCTATATTCGGTAGCATTTTGTTGCAGAATGTTTTCCATGGTAACCAAGAGAGCAAATGCATCAAAGCAAATGAACTGAATATTATTCATTAATTCATTCATATAGAATTAAACATAAAAGAGGCTAAAAGGAAGTGGAAATATAAAAGAGCATGAAGCAGTTAAGAAAATAGGTGGTTTCACTGGGAAATTGTGGCAAGGTGCAACTCATTAATGTGCCAGCTAGCTCCTATATCAGTTATCATACACTGATAAAGCGTAAAGTTTCAAGTATGGAATGTGAGTAAAAGGATTGCATTTTTAAAAATCAATTGATTTTTGAGATCCCTGAACCAGCTCATCTCTGGATTGAATAAGGGCCAGCAGTAGCCTCTTGGCAGGGGCCAGAACATTTTAGTAGAGTAGGTAAGACTTCAGTAATGCTGGTGCTTGGGTTACGCTTGGGTTACACTTGGTTTAAAATGTTGTAGGACCTCACTGGTTTACCTGCTAAAATCCTAGGCTCAGGTGCTGTTGGCTTTTCCCATCTGAAGCAGATACTGTTTTGTTCGTGGTGCTGTATCTGTTGAGCTATGGGAAAGGAAGCAAGTCTCACACAAGGTAGTTACCTGAGGAATTGCATTTATGCTCAGGAAAGTCTCAGTCCTTTGCAACCTATTTCTGAAGGCTTTGAAACAAATGTAGAAAGGGCTTCTGTTTAGATTGACTATAATGTGTAGTGCTTGTGTTTTGACCTATTTTAGTAGCTTTATCTGGATTCTGATTTTGCAGAGCTCATCTTGTTGGGGGTTTTTTTTTTGTACTTTGCCTTAAATATTTGTGGGCAGTCAAAATGCAAATCTGTAAGGATAAATGCCTTAAATACTAAAGATATGTGCTTGATACCATGGTTATCCATGTCTTGGAATTTCCACAGGTAGGTGTATATACAGATATTGTGGCTACGTCTTCCTTTCCATAATCCCAAGATTTATCGCTTTATCCCTCATCCTATAACTAAGCCTAAGCAATTCTAAATGCTTTTGTTTTGCCTGGTTTGCTATAGCCTGATTAGGTTCTAAAATGCTTGTGCTCATGTTCATGCATTGGTCTGGTATTTTAAGCCACTGACAAGCATTTTGTGTTTAGGTAGCTTTTATTCTATCGATGGAAGTTATTATCTGTAAATGATTGAGGTTGAGCTTTTGACTTTGCCAGCTGCTGCAGAAGATGCAGCCTTCTCCAGCTTGTTGGCCAAAACCTCGTGGAGACTGGTGATTCCCTTTACCAAGTCTCAAAAAATTTTCTTGGAATCATCTTTATTATAAGTCAGAACAAAATACCTAAAATTCAAAAATTCGTCAGGAACAGTACTTTTCCACCCACATGTCTTAACAGAGGGTGCTGCTAGGGCTTTTGAGATCTACTTTTGTCATCATACCAAAAGATGCCAAAGACTGGTAGGCAACTTTGTATGCACAGGATGGGTTCACATCTGTTCTGTCTGGTTTCTGATGTAATTTCGACCTCACTGAAGTAAGTTTTATGAATCTTTTCACATATTGCTAGATACTGACAGAATATTTTAGTTATCCGGCTTATTCCTTGTTATAAGTCACTCTGGTATGTTCATTCTGTACTTTTAATTGTACCAATTCAAAGCTGATTTTAGTAACTGAAATGATCTTTTTTCTGTAATATTTGGCTTTGGATATGCCTTAAAGGATTCCAGTTACATAATGTAATGCTGAATTGAATGGTAAATCGAACAGTGAAGTGTTTATAGGTATTCAACCATAACAGTAGAAAACCTATCAAATAAAAATACTCTAAAAATAATAATCTCTGGTGATTTCTCAAAATCATGGTAACAAAATAGCAAAATCAGATACATCATTGTGTCCCTGTAACTGAAATTTGATATCTTTGTGAATAGTCTGCCTGGAAACAGCATTTTGGGGGTGTTATGTAATATTAAGGAAAAGACAGTTGCCTGAAAATGCAATTTGAAGTAAAATGGCAGATTTTTTTCTTAATTGGTATGTATATCAATACACGATGAATAGCAATATAACAGTCCTTGGAGGGCAATACAAATATAGCAATTCAGCAGCATCTAGCTCTTAATTTGCACATCTAATTCTCTCCCCTTGACTAATTAAAGTGCACTGATTTCATGGCCTTCTCTTATTTTTGCTTTAGATCTCTTTGATCTTTATGCTAAAAAGAGAGAGGTTCTCTCATACAATGTTTCTGATTTTGCATCTAGACTATGTCTATATGCTCTCCTCCATCTGCAGATTCAAAAATGACGGTGAAAAAGTGAGATACTTTCAGAAAAAGTGAGATGCTGAAAGTATCTCATGATAAATGATAAATATATATTATCACACATATATGTGATAATATGTTGATAGGGAGTAAAAATGAGTGTGGCCAGGTAAAAAGACGTTCTGGAAAATTGGGCACTGTTAACATAGCCATTAAATTTTCGGCTTTGAAACATAAACACTCATGAAACATGCAACTTAAGTTTCTGTAGACTTGTGAGTGAAGGAACCAAGTTAGCTTTTGTAGTGCTGTTTAGTTGCTGAGTAATACAGGGTGAAATGAAAGGGAGGATTTGATGCTTTCTCTGTAAAATTATTTTTATGACTCATTTAAATGCAAAGAGAACTTTAGAGTAAACATCATGGGACTGCATTCAAAGCAGTAGTTGATCAGGAATG